CTCGCGGGCCACTTCGGAGTTACGGCTTCCCTCGGAGGGCCGGTGGAAAATCTCGTTATTTACCCATGACAATTTGACATTTCGGTATAGATTTCAGCAAGAATCATGATAGTTGACGCACATGATTTGCTCCCGAGGGCCACATAAAATGACGTGGGGGGCCGGATCTGGGCCTCGGGCCTTGACTTTGACACATGCACTGTAAAGTGTTCAGTCATCACATTTTGTAAAAAGTACTCAACAAAGAAGTCAGTAATTTACCTCAAAATATAGCAAAGCAATCGCTCATTACCATGCCGTTGTTGTAGGTATCCACACAGTGTATCTCCAACATATAGGTATCAGTATAAAGCTGATGATTACCTTTTGCTAATTTTGTACTCCTTTTAATCATATGTCATTATGAGCTACAGAATAGGCCGGGAATCTGCAACATTTTCCATGATCTCTAGCATACTGAAGCACCCCAGCTAACCACCAGCGGTGACTTTCCCATCAAAGGCAACACAGGGACTTTGAAAATAGGTCGGAATGTGCTAATATCGATCGATTTTCATGAGGTTTACTCGTTTGTCCATGCCAAAGGGTGTGCTGCCAATCTAAAGCGTTTGAAAAATTGTTCCCAAATTTTTTTTTTTAATAATCTGTGGAAGCTTACTCCCAGTTGCCTCGTAATAATTGTACGACGTTGTCCGCGACTGTTTGCCGCACTATCTACCTGCATCCACATGGCTGATGACTTTGACCCTGGTGTTTCCATTATATCTGTGGTGATGATGTAGTAATGATGTTCGGATCAGCATAGCTTCAATGGTTGATATATCGTTTAGAAAGCTGAGACCATTCTCTTTTTGATTCTGTCAAAACCTCATTTTTGAAATATTGGCAAAAAACAAAACAAAACAAAAAACAATGGATTTTTGAATTCAGTTGAGTTTTGTCCAGAAAATGTTCAACTTCTGTCTGACCCTGTTTTGTATTTGACCCGTAAGCTTTTAGGGGATATGGCTCAGGTAAAGATGAATTCCTTGAATAAAACTATATGCAGTACAATTTTGGTGCTGATCAAACTGATGTCATTGGCCTTGGTCTATTTTCCAAGAGTTTGTTCCCCCCCTTCCCTCCCCCAACTGGAATTTTTGCAAAGATTATGAGAAGTGTTTCAATTGGTTCACAACTGTACCTACGACTTGAAGGTTTTCTTTCTTTTTTTTTTTTTCCTTCACCTGGGCAGTGGGCCAGTGTACTTTCAAAATTAGCCAGCATGGTGCTGATGTACTTGAAGTGTCAATGTCCGCCTGTCTGTCCTCTCTGCTGCTGTTGGCCTTTCTGTGGCAGGCGTTGGCACCGGCCGGCCT